TGGGGTCACCATTTGATTGCTTTTCAAATTTAGATTATAGAAGACTTAGACCCGTGTTCATCCAGATCTACTCAACCAGATGGGAGGTGAGCTCACAGGCTCTTGAATGGACCCAAAATCACGAAATGCTTTGATCATTGGGTACTGCTGGGGTCCAGCTGTTTTCCTGGCCTCAGTACAAAGAAGCTACTTCAAGTTGACTTTGAGGCGACGAAAGTCTTATCAGGGCACCAATGACAACAGGGTTCTGGGAGCTGGCAGATGGCACCTGGTATGGGGCCCTTCAAGAAGAGCAACAGCTGGAGGAGGAAGGTGAGATGCCCTGAGGCAAGGTGTTTTGCATACGAATTGCTGCATTTCTAATCAGTTTCCCCGGAGGCTTAGCAGAAGGAAGACTTTTGTAAAGCTTTCTCTTTAGGAGATACTGCAGGGAAGACAAAACTCCATGCAACACCATCTTTCCCTTTTTAAAAAATTGTTGTAAACACATAGCAAAATTTTATCCTCTATATATCCCGTTTCCCCAGCCCCCACCCCAGCAGCCACCATTCCACTCTTTTTTTTTTTTTTTTGAGAGAGAGAAAGAGAGAACTCGAAAGGTCCCTGGAGGGGGAAAGGGAAAGGTGAGGGAGCCTCTCAGGCAGACTCCCCGCTGAGGGCTGAGGGCAGAGCCTGGCAGGGCCCCACTCCAGAATCCTGAGGTCACAACCTGAGTGGCAAGAATTGGATGCTTAACCGGCTGAGCCACCCAGGGTCCCGTCTACTTTCTGTTTCTATAAATTTCATTCCTTTAGATGCCTCATATAAACAGAATCATACAGTATTTGTTTTTTTTGTGATTGCTTTATTTCATGCAGCAGAAGGTCCCCAAGATTCTTCCATTTTATAACACATGACAGTACTTCCTTCCTTTCTGAGACTGAGTAACATTAGGTCCCCCAATAATGGGTCCGTGATTAAAGGAGCGAGACTGATATAAAGCAAAGATCAAGCAAAGCTTTATTCCGCGCCAAGCATCAAGAATCAGACTGAACATTTGGGGCCTCACCTCTTACAAGAGAGGGTGACCTTTCTCTGCTTCACAGACTAGCTTTTAAGGGCAAAGGCCATGTGATTGCACCTGGCCATGCACAGGTGGCCAATGAGATTGTAACACACAGAGAAAGCTGCACGGTCATGTTAGGTCATACATAAGTGACCAATTGAATTACAATTTACCCTAGTAGATATTTGAATTAGCCTATCACCTTGGTCAGAATTGGTGCCCAAAAGGTGCCCAAAGGGTGGGGCCCATACTCCTTGGTAACTAGGGAGACAGTATGCACCCCCCCACTGATGGGATATCTCCACCTGGCCCGACCCACCCTTGTATTTGGGCTTTGTTACCTGGGACTGGTTTCTGGGACTTTTTTTTTTTTTAAGATTTTATTTATTTATTTGACAGAGATCACAAGTAGGCAGAGAGGCAGGCAGAGAGAGGAGGAAGCAGGCTCCCTGCCGAGCAGAGAGCCTGATGTGGGGATCGATCCCAGGACCCTGAGATCATGACCTGAGCCAAAGGCAGAGGCTTTAACCCACTGAGCCACCCAGGCACCCCCTGAGACTTGTTTCTGAGTAAGTCCCCTGGGGGAAGGGGGACAGGGACAGTTTAAGGGTTAAACAACAAGGTTATTGTTTAACCTGGATGGAAGTGTTCTGGCTAAAATCGGTCCTTACAAGTAATATGTCATTGTATGTATATACTACATTTTGCTTAACCATCCATCTATCACTGGATGTTTTGGTTGTTTCCACCTCTCTCGTGTGCGTCCATTATTTTTTCCTTTAAGTCGGCTTCATGCCCAACATGGGGCTTGAACTCACGACCCCAAAATTAAGAGTTTCGCTTTACCAACTGAGCTAGGTGGTGCCCCAGGTTGCTTCCACCTCTTCACTGTTGTGAATAGCACTACTGTGAACATGGGTGGGCAAATGTCTCTTCAAACCCTACTTCCAATTCTTTAGGAGATACACACACACACACACACACACACACACACACATATATATAATTTATTTTTATTTAATTATATATATATTTTTTTAAGATTTTTTAAAGATTTTTATTTATTTATCTGAGATAGACGAGAGAGAGAGAGTGTGAGCATGCGTGCCTGTGCACAAGCAGTGGGCTGGGCCTAGGGAGAGGGAGACGCAGATGCAGAGCAGGGAGCCTGATGCAGGGCTGCACCCCCCCACCATGAGATCACGACTGAGCCGATGGCAGACGCTTAACCGACTGGGCCACCCTGATGTCCCTGGATCATATTTTTAACTTTGCAAGGAAGCTTCATACTGCAGCATTTTACATTCCCACCAACTGACTGCACAAGAGTTCTGATGTCTCCACATCCTTGCCAATCCTGTTCTTATTTTCTGCAGGGTAAGGGGGAGGTTGTCGTCACCATTGTAATGAGTGTGAAGTAATATCCCATTGTGGTTTTGATTTGCATTTTTCTGATGATTAGTGATGTTGAACATCTTTTCATATGCTTATTAGCCATTTGTATATAATCTTTGGAGTAATGTCTATTTGGTTTTAAAACCATTTTTTTTTTTAAGATTTTATTTATTTATTTGAAAGAGAGGCAGTGAGAGAGAGCATGAGCTAGGAGAAGGTCAGAGGGAGAAGCAGACTCCCCGTGGAGCTGGGAGCCCGATGTGGGACTCGATCCCGGGACTCCGAGATCATGACCTGAGCTGAAAGCAGTCGTCCAACCAACTGAGACACCCAGGCGTCCCTAAAACCATTTTTTAATTGGGTTATTTGATTTTTTATTGTCAGCTTATGGGAGTGCTTTATACATTCTGGCAATTAACCCCTTATCAGATAAGAGCTTTGCAAATATTTTCTCATACTTCATAGGTTGCCTTTTCACTCTAAAGATTATGTCTTTTGATGCACAAAGATTTTGAGCTGGATGTAGTCCCATTCATCTATTTGGTTTTTGTTGGCTTGTACTTTTGATGTCGTATCTAAGAAACATTGCCAGGTCCAATGTTGTGAAGATTTTCTCTATATTTTCTTGCATATACTTGATGTCTTACATTTAGGTCTTTGATGCATTTTGAGTTAATTTTTGTCAGTGGTATAAGACAAAGGTCCAACTTCATTCTTTGGCCTTAGGAAATTCTGTTTTCCCAGCACAATTTGTCGAAGAGATTCTTTTGCCTTCTTTCAACTCTCACGTTACAACAGAGGATCAGTAGGGCTGCTGACGCCCTCCTTACAGACTCAAGATGCCCCCAACCAGCCAAGGAAGAGAGGAGTTTAATTCACACCTCCTTCACATGAGCTGACTTCACAGTCATTGTTCACCTTGCACTTGTAGACCCAGCCCTGACTTTGCTTCCATTCACTGGATATTCAACATTTTCAGCTCGGCTTCTGACCGTGGGGAGTCTGCTTTGCTTCATCTGTTTCTCTAGACTTCTGAAACAATCCTATATTCAATACCCAACCCCGTGAAGCTAATTTCTTTTGCCAAAACTTAACTCACCAGGTTTCGTTTCATCTCCTGAGTGCTTATTGATGTGGGAAACAGAGGCAAAAGGAAAAATTGAATCTCCTTCCTACTTACAGTCCATTGGTAAGTCCTTGAATCATGCAGAGTGACCTTCCTCTGGGAGCTCAGCTGCCTCGATATTGACACTTTGCTAAGGGCAAATCTCAGCCCGACCCCCAGGATCCTGTGAGTCTACTTTAAACAGAAATTCCTTTGGAAACTTCCTTTGTCTTGACCCCCCAAGATATATGTCAGCAGTCATCCTGCAAACATATGGCCCACTGAGATACATCTGAAGGGTCTCAAGACTGAGTTTTTACTAAACAGTAAAAAATGACATTTTCCTAACAATAGATAGCCCCACTGAGGGTCCTGGAAGCATTGTTTCCAGAATACTATGGGGGTTTGCTTTATCCCTCACCCCCTCCCAACTTGAAAAGATAAAATCAGCCACTCCTCACAAGCCCGGTGCAGCTCTTTCCACCCATGGGTCCTACACCTGTGCTTTGGTAAAACCACCTTTTTGTACCCAAAGACATCTCAAATTTTCTTTCCTGACCATTTGCTCCAAACCTCAATATTTCCACATCACTTATTAATCAGAATTACAATTTTCCCCATTTCTGAACATTTGGGAGACTCTGGCAAAATAAATTCTGATGTTCTTTTTAATGGGTTCTTTTAGTTATTTAAATTCTGTCTCCTTGCAAAAACTATCTATAGCAGCTTAATGTGTAGTAACTTCATCCCATTTTCTGAAAGCTCACTGATGGCTTTAACTTAGGCCAACTGACAGAGTATAAAGCCACAGTGGTCCACCCCTTGCCCCCTGAGCATTATATGTACCTCTTCTAACCATCCTTAACTTCCAAATAAAGACAGTAGCAAAACCATGTTTCCACCTGCCTTCATGCTACTATTCCTGGAACAATCGAAAACACACTCCCAAAAAGAGGCTACAGGTCTTTCTATTCAACTTTGGGTCATTTTCATTCTTCTTTTGAGTCACACTTTCCTTTTGATCTCCTGTAACTTAAATACTGAGATATAAAGTTAACTGCTATTTAACACATCTTATGTAGAATAGTGGGGGGAGAGGAAGAGGAGAACAAAACCATACGTGCACAAGTACGGACACGTCAACACAGAGGAGAAATGTGCATAACTATTATAGCTTCTGTAACTTATTTCTGCCATAGCTGGTATAACTTCCTTCTTTCACTATTTACTCCATATGCATTTTGCCACCAGCAAGCATGTCAGCCAGTCATGATTCCTTGGCTGGTGAGATGACCCAAACCTTTGATTTAAAGGGTCTAGGCTATTAGAAGCCCTGGCTGAATTTTATCATTGTGGTTTTCCATTGACTTTAATCACAGGCCATGGGCAGTCTAAGAGGTACCAAGAGGTACTTATCTCTGCTACAGAGAAGCAACCCTTGATAGTCAGGAACACTCAGCCCCGCCAGTACAGAAACTCTTCTTTGCCTGTTGAGTTGCTGTGATGAAGAGCGCAAAGTGGCCAGTTGGCGGCCTCGACTTCCCATTTAATAGAACCCCTGCTGTGTCTCCTGGTGGAAGCAATCATCCCTTGGGAACTAAGACCTCTAGACAAGCAAAACAAAAGTCTCAGACGTGGAAACTAAGATTCACTTTTGGGTCACCAGGGATAAGAAGAAGAGCCACTCTGATATTCTCTCCTTGACTCCCAGCCCCAAGAAGGTTATGGGGAAAACAGCACCATATATTGGCTCCTAATTTAGAGCAAATGATTCCAGGCCTACAACGTGTTTTTGCCCAACTGGCACTGTAAACGGATATTCTAAAAGGCAATTCAGGGCTTACCAGGTTAGCTGTTTCAGGACAAAGCAGATATGGTTAACCAGTAAATTCCATGAGCAGGTATCCTCTGACGCCTTATCTGCTCCAGCCCAGTCTCACATATACTGCTTACATGGGATGATGGAATGCTACACGGCACAACCAACCTTATGGCTGAGCACAACATGGACAACTTGGACGACATCCATAACTTGGACAATACCCAATTTATGATAGGTGGCTCAGGTCACTTGGTCACTTAATGGCCTGTGGTTAAGTATCTGGTGTTGCCCAGTTGCACCTGCAGACATCTGTGATTTAAAACAAGACAAAACAAAACACACACACAAGAAACACTTGCCTCAAGTTATCCAATACACTTAGAAACAACCAGCCAAACCACTATACTCCTTACTTTCACTAACATATTTGATGGCAGCAGTCACTTGGTTATCCCCAGAACTATGGGAGCAGATAAAGAAATCTATGGAAGGTGGCTGACTCCCCATCTGCGATGGGTCTGAAGTCACTGTAGGGTGACAGGGATGGAAGTCAGGAAGAAAAATGAAGAGAGAGAGAAAAGGATACATTGGGAAATGCAAAGATCACCTAGAACACACAATGACAAACTGGAACCCACACAAAAATTGGAACATGTGTCTGTCTCACCACACTGACATGGATGACATGGCAACTGGCAGAAGCTGACACTCCTTTTGCAACAGAGTTGCACGTACACCTGCCCCGGGACCTGGAGAAGCTGGTGGAAGAGGTCCAGCAAAAGCTGCAGGAGCTCTGAGCTCACCAGCACCAATACAGTGACTCAGCAACAAGACGAGGGACCACGAGGGGCACTCAACACTGACCTTCAGAGGGCTGTGGCTGCCACTTCACTTCTGCTGCTAAATCTTATGCAATATCCTTTGATGGCGAACCCCAATGTAGAATCGGACATGGAAAGGAATTCTGGGAAACACAGTTCCACCGCCCGTGACATGATAAAACCCAATACAAGGATGGAAATCATTTCTCAGATTGCTGGGAATCTCCAGGAACAGTTTTCCAGGAATAAATTTCCTACTCAAGGTCACTTTTTTTTCCTTTGATATTCATATACATTTGACGGCAATTATCATGTTTGATTTGATCATCATCACAGCTCATCTTTATCACACGTTTATGATATGACAGATATTAGCCAAATACTTTGCATCTTTAGTTCACTTAATTCTCACAGTCATCTTATGGGGTAGGTCTTATTATGTCTCCATTTTACAAATGAGGAGATGGAAGCCTGGGGAGAGGTTGCATAGGTTTCCACACCTGTATAGAGAATAAGAGTCCGGGCAGGCATCCAAACAGAGTCAGTCTGACTCCCTTGTCCTTTCCCTTAACCACTAAGCTGTAATATCCATAACGTCAAGCAAGATTCAAATATCTTAAATCATTCACAAATGGAAAGCATAGACTCTATGAATTCAGTTTTGAAGGGGACAATTTAAAGAATATGTGTAATTATAAAAATCTAAATTTACACACTTATACTAATGGAGGGGTACCGTAAGTTGCTTCAAATCCCCAGATGAGCATAAGATTCTATTACTCGTTTCAAAAGCATTATGATACCAAAGTATTTATATTCAGCTCGTCTAGGATAGGAGAGCAATTTAAAGTAATCAGATGAGGTGTTCTAAAAACGAGGTAAGAGAAATGGACGTTCACACGTTCATCCTTGCCTTTAGCTAATATTTGCTCAGAGCACTGTCTGAGGAAGAGGTTATGGGGCATAAACTAAGACCTACTGAGAGGGTTGAGTCTATAAGGAGAGGTAAAGCATCCAGAGAGGGGATGTGGCAGTTTCCCTATTAGAAACCAGCATCCAAGGCAGACGGAGCGTCTGAGAGATGGAAAGATTCAGTGAACAAGAGTTTAGTGTTGGAAGAGAAATGTCATCTAAGCCTGATTTCTCTCCTCTTCATTTTTGGCATTCCTAGAAATCCAGATCTATGGGGGGATCTCAATACATGTTTAACCTTGGAGGCCAAAGAGCCTTAAATTCCATGGAAAAGACGACATCCAAGGGAGTCATGAGACCTGGGTCCTCTTTTCCTGTTTTTCCCACTAACTTGCTGGGTGGCCCACTTCCTTTCTTCTCTAGGCCTCAGTCTTACTGTCTGTAAAATGGAAGAAGTGGTGGTGGGGGACTCTTTAGGACCACAGATTTTCTTTCTAGTTCTAAATCTGGCATTCTAGGACACTAGACTTTTTTGCATGAAGAGGAATGTCTTAAGCCTCCTCAGGAAGTTACACCCTTGACACAAAACGAGACTGTTGCCACTGCCGTGGCTCCAGCTGATTTTTATTCTGTCATTTTCTTCAGTATCAGTGATAGATTCGTCTGGATCCACCATTATTCTGTCATTTTCCCGCAAGGCCACCAGATGGCTAAACTCATAAGTCCAACTGTGCTACAGACAGAACCAAGAGGGCACAATCCCCAATGGGAACCTGTTGCCCCAAACCCTTCCTGCATCAGGGAGACTGATTCATTTCACAGAAAGATCGTACTGGAAAAGCATTCTTAAGACCAGAGCAAACTTTGCAGACTGAATAAAATGAAAGGACATGTCCTTGACAACCATATTTAGGACTGAGTGAAAAGCAAAATGGTTTTAAGTGATCAGGGTAGAAAAGCAAATAGATAGAACTACACATTACCAAAAAACAAAACAAAACAAAAAAACCCTGTGTGTGTCTGTGAGTTCTGTGGAGAGTTTTTAAGATGGGGAAGCATTCACACACCATGGCCCCTGTTTAAAAATAGCTACCATTAACTGCTAAGAAATCCCAGTCACTAGACCAAGCACATGACATGCATTATCTCACGTAATCCTCACATTAAGCTCATGATGGATGCTATGTCTGCCCCATTCCACAGAGGAAGACAGCCACAGACAGGGGGAAATGCTTGTCCAAACTCCCATGGCTAAGACAAGAGTCTGGACTTGAATCTGAGCCTAACCCCAGATGCCTCCGTTCTTCTATTTACACTGGCCCTTATAAAGAAAGAGAACTGGACTCCTCCTACAGAGGGCCAAACACAGCCAGATGAAGTACTCGTGCCCTTGGACATCGGCCTTAGTCAGGCTGAAGGGTGTGTTGAGATCCGTGTTACACAAGTTGAACATGGATGAGGGAGCACATTTGGTCACATGTCCTGAATAAATGCTACATGCCTGGCATGATGTTAGGAGCTACAAACACAGAAGAGCAAACAGCCTAAAACAATGAGGCCACTGCTGCCCTAGAAGTATGTGTGAAAATTCGAGGGTGACCCAGACTGACAGGGCTAAATTGGGTTTGCGTGGATTGCTGAGTCTTCTCAGAGAAAGCCTCTGAAATGGGCGTCAAAGCACAGTAGGAGGTCATTACTGAAGGAAGGAAGAGGCAGTAAAGCTGAGAAAATGAAGAGGAGTCTGAGAGCCCGAGACTCAGCTCCCCTTGCTTTCTAAGAGTGTCTGAAGCCATTGCCCCTGGGCTCCTGTCAGGAATGCTCCAGTTCTCTCTAATAAGCAAGGCTGACCCCTGATAACCCCCTCCGTGGTGTGGTTTGAATTAGCAATCTGGAGGTGAGGCACCAGAGGCTCTGCCCGCTCGTGAAATGGATGGAGCGTGGATAACAGCTTTTCTGTCATCCAGCTGCGAGCCAAAACACACGTGGTGCCCCGAACATGTGGGCAGTCCTGTTTTATTCTTCGAGAGTCCAGAAGAAAGGGGTCAGTGAGCATTTAACATTCTAACAGGAACTGGCTCAGTCATTCTGGGTTTAGAGCCCAGAAGCAGCTTCCTGGGCTCTAAAGGGAAGCTTAAAAAAAATTTAAAAAGAGAAATAAAGAAACCTGGAAGTGAGCCAGTGGGGGTTGAGGAAGTCACTCTGAGAACTGAAGAATCCTGCTGGGTTCCCCTCCTCTGCCCGGCTCTCCTGACGTTTATACAAAGCCTTGTAGAGGCGGCTTTAAGAATCTGTAATTAGGGGCGCCTGGGTGGCTCAGTGGGTTAAGCCGCTGCCTTCGGCTCAGGTCATGATCTCAGAGTCCTGGGATCGAGCCCCGGGATCGAGCCCCGCATCGGGCTCTCTGCTCAGCAAGGGAGCCTGCTTCCTCCTCTCTCTCTGCCTGCCTCTCTGCCTGCTTGTGATCTCTCTCTGTCAAATAAATAAATAAAATCTTTAAAAAAAAAAAAGAATCTGTAATTATACTTATAAATAACCAACTATGACTATTAAAAGGACATATGGAAAGAAAGCCACAACTGGGCTGCAAATGCAGGAGACCAGGGCCTTCGTTCACAGTGTGGATCTCTAACTTGCCACCATGCATCCAGCCCATGCCCTCTTCCACACCAGGCCCCCTTCTGACTGTTCCTGGAGTTCCTTCCTCATCACCGCCCCCAGATCATCTACAGATTTTCCCAGCTCTTTCCACGGAGCCGCCCAGAGCCTTTCTTTAAGTTTTACCTCTTCCTTCAAATTTGTTTCCAGGAGAAAGACTAGTGTTTAGTTGCAGTCAGTTTGACATTCAACAAATTCCTAATGATGACTATCTGTTTTACTCCCTCTCTGGGATTGCCTGGCACACTTTTTACCTTGTATTTCACAATGGCTTTGTTCCAAAAATATTGTTATCCAACTTTTGAAAAGTAAATCAAGACCCTATGTTATAGATGGACATCCTTCTGCTTAAGGAAAACCCTTAACTAAAATAGTTTACAGACTAAACAGAATGTCCTATAAATATTTGTGTTGGGTCCCCCCAAAATTGGGTACCCCAATAATGGGTCCATGATTAAAGGAGCGAGACTGATACAAGGTGAAAGTCAAGCAAAGCTTTATTTCGTGCTAAGCATCAGGAATCAAACCGACCGTCAAACAGACGGTCAGGGCCGCCCCTACAGAGAGGACGACCCCTCCCTGCTTTCCAGACTAACTTTTATAGAGCAAAAGCCATGTGGTTGGGCCTGGCCACGCACAGGTGGCCAATGAGATTGTAACACACACAGCAAAGTCCATAGTGATACTAGGTGACCAATTGAATTACAATTTACCCTAGCAGACATTTGAATCAGCCTATCACCTAGTTCAGAATTGGCACCCGAAAGGTGCCCAAAGGGTGGAGGCCCATACTCCTTGGTAGCTAGGAGACAGTACGCGCCCCCACTGATTGGATACCTCCACCTGGCCTGACCCACCCTTTTACTTGGACTTTGTTACCTGGGACTGGTTTCAGGGACTTGCTTTTAAGTAAGTTCCACGGGGGGGAGTCAATTTAAGTTTTACAACAAAATGGCAGTTCAACCGGGGTAGGGTCTCTCTGGCTGAAAAGGCCCTTACATTTGCATACTCACAAATCCATTTTATAAGTCATATTTTAAGTGTATGAAAAAATCATGATACTACCCTCTCTAACTTCTATAGATTTTGCATGTGCCTATTATACATAGTCATTGATAATCATCATTAATATTAAGCCTTACAAAGAGCTTCATTCCTTCAAATTATTGCTCCTTCACAAACACGACAAACTTCAGCTTCCACACTTTTACAATAAGTGGCAAGTGTAGGCAGGAAATCTCAAACTCAAAAAGGTTTCCTGATTCACTGACATCAACTGGTGATAGAGTGATTTTTTTCAGGCACCTCTGAAAATTAAGCCAATTAAATTTTTACCTACCTCGGAGGCGAGTTTGTAAGATATTTATATTCGCAAATGAAGTTCTATTTCTTCCCCCAAAGTCTGCTTGCTGAAAAAGTCTAGGGGAAAAAAAAAGGCAATACACACAGATGAACTTCAACGAATCTGAATTACCAGGAAAGCTCTGAGCAAGGGCAACTGTTACTTAAAAAGAAACTTTAAGAAGTAACCAGGGATAAGACACAGAAACTCTTCATGTATACTATCACAGAGAAAGAAAACTGGCCTACCAAAGGAATTTGTTTTTTAGCTCACCTCCATTACTCTGTTTCTACCCTTTTGGGGACCTGAAGTCTTACGTTTCTGCCTAGAGTCCCCCACAAGTAGCCCTCTAGGCAAACCATCTGGGGCATTAAAATGTCTGATGACCCAGAATCCCCTCGCCCTCCTTCCCCATAGCCTATCCAAGTTCCTCTTCACAGAGCTCTCCAGAAACATTCTGTTTACACAGAGCAGCATCGCTGGAAGTGCGGTCCGTGGGCCAGCAGCATGGCATCACCCGGATGCTGGTTGGAAATGCAAATTCTCAAAGTACCGAAATCAGTTGCTCAAAGAGATATCGGCGCTCTGCGTCCATCGCAGCTTTATTCTCGACACCCGACAGACACACGGGGACAACCTAAGTAAACAGATCGCTGTACAAAGAAACTGTGGTGTTCAGCCTTAAAAAAAGGAGGTCCTGCCATTTGCAATAGTGTGGATGAGCATGGAGGACACCATGTTAAGCGGAAGAAGCCAGACAGGAATTAACAAAATAAAATGGCGGGGTGGGGTGGGGGGCGCGGCACCTGGGTGGCTCAGTTGTTTGAGCATATGACTCTTGGTTTCAGCTCAGGTCATGATCTCAGGGTCCTGAGACTATGCTCTGTGTTGGGCTCAGCATGGAGTTGCCTTTCCCTCTCTCTCTGCTCCTCCCTACCCCGTTGGCTCATGCTCTCTCTTATAAATAAAATCATTAAAAAAAAATTTTTTTTAATGCATGATCTCATTTATACATGGAATCTAAAAAAATTGATTTGACAGAACCAGAGAGCCAAACAGCAGATACCAGGGGTGGGGAGGCGGGGAGACGTCAGAGGGGACAAGGTTGCAATTATGCAGGACATGTAAGTCTAGACATCTAACGTCCGGGCCTGAGAACTCTAGTTAATACTGTATCGAACACTGAAAATTTGCTGCGTGGATTTCAGATTCTTTCCGTGGCAAAAACAGAAAGCGTGTTTAACTGTGGACGGACCTGTTAATGGGCTTTGTTGCAGTAATCATCCCACTCTTTGTATCAAATCACACTGTACGTCTTAAATATACACAATTTTTATTTTAAAAAATAATAACAAAGAAATGCAAATTCTTAGGCCTCCATCCACTCCAGCAGAATCAGGGGCCTGTAACGCCGTATTTTAGCAAGATTCCCATGTGGCTCTCATGTACATTCAAGTCTCAGGCTCCCTGACAGAGAAACCACTGGAGAGAATTCCAGCAGCGGACAGATGGGCCAGAAGCAGGACCCCTTTCAACGAAGGGATTCTACTTCGCAGTACTTTACCCACTCACTTTCAGCCAATCCTTGACACATGAAACGCAAAACGAAAAAACTGGAAAGTGGTCTAAAGTCTTACTGAATAATTTCCCCGAACTCCAGATGTGAGGATTCAAAATTAAAGACTCAAGGTTATTGGAAATGAACGGTATGTCTCACTTAGTTCTCCGGGTCTCCAGAGAGAGGCTAATTGGGGCTCATAAATTAGAAGAAATTATTTAACAAGTTGATTAATGTTCTGAGAAAAGGGGAGGGGCACCAAATGGACACATTCTGCTGATTTCTGAAAAGAGGATTTAATTAAAATCAATTGCTGCGCTCCACTGTACACAAGCCGGATCAATCTCTCCTGCCGGAGTCTCGTCAATGCTCAAGAAGAAGAAAACGAGGCCCCGGTCAGCAGGATTCCAGAGAGATTCAGGGTTTGCGGAAAGGCTATTTGTCGCCTTCAGGAATGTAAATGTATAGAAGGAAACATCAAACATCGATTCCAGGCAAGAATAGATTTTCCTGTAAGTGCGAAAGGGGAGACCCAGCCCCTGGTCCTCCAGACTTAAGTAAATTATTCTCCAGAGTTAAGCCGCTGTCAGGCTGCACTAAGGAACCCCAGCGTTTGCTGTGTTGTTACGATGATTTGCCTACACTGGGGCTGGGGTCTGGGGAACATATGGGGAGTCTGGCAGTAGGGAGGGGAGGCCAGCACAGCAGAGGCCTCACTCCTTGGCAGTGGCCTCTTGGCACTGCAGATGACCTAGGTGGTTTGCACGGGCCCAGACTCCTACTCCCCCGACCATGGCCTCAGTCAGCTCCCAGACCAGAGAGGCCTGTAGGTCCTCCCTCCTTCCCTATAAAGGCCCCAAGCCTCCACCCCACCCCCAGAATCTCGGGGTCCTGTTCCAGTTGGCCCTGCTCCCCCAGGCTATAGCTATGGGGGTTCCAGGTATAGAGGCTGACCCACATATGAAAAGCACTGAATCTAGGAAGGCCACATAGTTAGATGGAGCAGCAGGGAGGACACAGAAACACGGGCCTGGGGGCAGTGTGGCAGGTGACCCAGGGTCTCCCGAAGACGCCCACATCCTGCTCTTGGAACCTGCGAACATGACATGGCAAAGGGACAGAAGGCTCAAATGCCATCAGGAAGGCTGTCGGCCAGCTGACCTGTGGAGAGGAGCTGATCCTGGCTGGCCCGGTGGGATCCACCTTGAGTCCTTCAAGGTGGAAAGAGGAGAAGCAGAAGACAGGGTCCGGGAATTTTCCCATGGCCAGGCCTCGACCTACTGCTGCCGGCTTGGAAGTCCGAAGAAGGGAAATGCAGATCCAACCCAGAAGTAAAGGCAAGAACTAGATTCCCCCAGGAGCCTCAGAGAGGAAGGCAGCCCCACTGACCTCTTGACTTTAGCCCAGGGAGCCCCACATGGGGACCAATGACCTACAGTGAGCTCCTATACGTGCTGCATTTGCTGTTTTAAGTGGCTCAGCAGTGGTCCCTGGTCTCCACAGATGGGAAGTTCACACCAGCAAGCGCTGAGGGGGCGGGGCCTCTGCGCAGGAGCCCAGGCCGGCTTGGGGGTGCTCTGGGGCTCAGGGTTGGATGGGAACGGCCACTGCCTGGCCGGCTGGGAGAAGTGGCAAGGAAGCAGAGAGGAAAACAAATACCTTGTTTCTAACCATTAATCCATGTCCTGAGGTCTCACCAACACTACATTGGTGCAAATTCAATGAAATAAGGTCAGCGCCCTCAATATTGATTGCATAAAACAGATCTGATTCTGAAATGAAGCTGTGTGCTTTTCACTATTCAGAACAATCTTCACAAAGCAACCTCGTCTTCAGATAATGTCTCAACATGACATTATGGGGCTAGTAAAGTTGTTTTTAATGTGCGAAAGGAAAAATGGAAGTTGGCGTTTAATATTTTACAAACTCCCTATTTTGTTAGAAATATTTTGACTTCAATAGCTAATTAGATGTTGTAACAGTGTCTAAAATACAGTATTCAAGGCTTTTTTTTTTTTTCCCAGATTTATGTAAACCCTGACTTTGGCACCATTCTGGAAGTGATAGCCTCAAAAAACGGGCAGTTATTGTTTTAAAAGAATAGACATGGGACGGGTGATTCTCAGTGGCCTCTAGAGAAAGAAGCCCAAGGGTTATCCATCACACTCCATCTCCCTTTTGGGAGAGGAGGCTCTGTTAGGGCCAACAGTTTGGCCTCCAGGGCAAGGCTAAGCCACACTTACTGGTGAGGTGAGTGCTGCAGATCCACAACCACTGCCCAAAGCCATCCAACCTGCCCTGCAGATTGTGATACTTGAAAAAGAGGGAAACAGGGAAAAGATTTGAGAAACGAGAAAGAGAGAGGACATTCACTTCTGAGCCGCAGCCAGTTAGCCTCCCAGCAATGGGTGTCTGGTGTGGTGTCTGAATGGCCTTCAGGACTGTTGGGGTGTGGGGGGAAGACCCAGCACTACCCCTCCTAATGTCTGAGCCAGGAGCACACGCACTGAAGGGAGCATACAGCACAGGTACAGCTTGCCGGCATATTTTCTTTCCACGCAGAACTTTGGAAACATAGGATTCCAGTTCCATTTGGAAGCACGAAGCTCAACATGGTAGTATGCGGGTGACGCATAAAACCCTGTGCACGGAAAACAAAACGTGCATCTTCCCGAGGCTAATGAGCCCTAAGCGAAGCTTTTCTTGTTTTCCTCCTTCCCACGTACTGGAGTGCTCAGCTGGAGGGAGGTCGTGAGCCATCAGTCCAGCCTGTGCTTTAGAATATGCATTTGTTGGAAAATTGCAGTTTTCAAAACAGAAACCTGGACCTCAAGGGATAGGGGTAAGCACAACTAATATATCCTGAGGTTTTGCAACATTATTTAGAGATGTGTCCTATCTATCAGATGATGCATGATCGAGTGCTATTTTTCAGAACTTCTAGAAGGGAGATGGTGTGGAAGTAAGGAGGGGCAGTGGGGCATTCTATAATTTATCAGACTTCGCAAAGCAGCACGGTTCTGTGTGTGTGTTCCCTACAAGGGTGTGTATGTTAAGCACTCTCCTTCCCAGATCTCAAATTCTTACCTCATGCCAGGACATTCACCACAATATTTCCACATGTGGCAGCTTTTGTCCCTGAGAAGATATAACCAAGGTAATTTGATCAGTAGAACAGAAATGATCTGTGCCTCACTGAGCCCATGGCAGACTTCTGCTGCATTTTAAAGACACTGGCATTTATCATCATTGATTACTTGGCTTTTAATTTGACATTTAATACAGCTCCTTGTCTCTGAGGCATTCAAGACATACAGACATTTCCTTTTTCCTGTAAGTTAACATTTTGCCTTTCTTCGAAGCTCATCATTCTTAATCTCCTTTAAACACTTCCTCAAAGCCAACAGATGTCTTTAGCCTTGCTGCCCAAAGTATTTCTGGTAACGATCTCACAAGGCTGACAGTGTACTTGAACTTCCATCCTCAACAACATCTGTCTTAGTGAGGCCTGCGGTCCTTGTGGCCAGGAGCCCCAGCCCTTCACACATTCTGTAAATCATCTCGTGAGCTCACAGCCTTCAGTAAATTTCCCTACCGCGACCGCGGGGATCCCTTTCCATCTCCACCCCTGGGACTTGGGTCATCCCTGTTTTATGGAGATCTCTTAACTAGGCCCATTAATTCTGCAGTAAGCATTCTAACTGCAGACCAGCTCCTGTGCTCCTGGACGGCTTGATTTGCCAACTGGTCTATTTCACAAAGGCACCGAAGGGATCTAATTTACAACATCCTTAAGGCGGGCTGTGATTTGTTGTTTTCGTGCAGAAGCTGGAACGCTCTCTGTGGAGCTCCCTCCATGCAGGAGCAACAATCACCCGCGTTGGGCCGGGCATAGCGCCCCTGTGGCTACAGAGGCTGGGAGGTGGCATCAAGACAGACGAGTGCCTTGGGATTCCTGGATAGCAGGCAGGAAGCCCACCCAAGGAAACCTGGGTCTTGACCACGGTCTCCCCCAGGCAGACAGGCCACTGGTCAGTTGGGGAGACAGAAGGCGGGGATCGCAGGGGTCCCAGCAGAGGGCCCTGGGGCTGGAATTCAGTTCTCACACGTGGGTGATTTGACCCCAGGTTTGGGGCCAGAGCCCTCCTCGCCTGCGTTCACTTCTCCAAACAGTGAGCATTCAATCACAGTCAACCCACCGGACCCAAACCTGATGTCCGAGGGAGACGGCCCCTGCTCAGCAGCCAGGCAGCCTTCGCCTCTCCTGAGCCTCCATCTGCCCCCTGTGTCGGGGGCTCGCAGCACCAGCCCTGCAGAAAAGTTATGAGAACCCACAGCGCAGTGCCTGGCAAGGAAGCACTCAATGCCTGTAAGTTCTCTATATTTTATTACCCCTTCTTACTGCTTCTGAACAAGATTCTGACCCCTTTGACTTAAACCTTCAAAGGCTGGAAGACTGAGTCAATCCTGAGGGTCTCTATTCCAGTGAAAAACAAATGGGTGGGCATGGCCAGAAAACTCATAAATATTCTGGGAACCGAAATGTTGCTTCTTCTGTACTACCTCCTAAGGCAGAACTGGTGACTCCTTCCTCTTGTCACCTGGGAATCCATCCTCTGTGACAACATGTGAGAACAGAGTTTAAAGCCCTCCAGAGACGACTTTTCCTTTAATAACCAAGTAATAATAACCTCAACTCCTTCCCATACCATTACAAAAGGCCCCCTTATCAGCGTTCCCAAGAACATTCCAGAAGGTCATGCCGGGCCCTTCATTCCACTTGCCCCCAGCTTCTCACCTGGCACACCTGGCTGCCTCGCACCCACTTTGCCATCCTACCCCAGCTCTCTGCGATCTGCTCCATCTCTAATCGTGAACACAGCCTCAGAAACCACATGGACCTGTTACCAAAGTTTAAGCAGCACATGACATAATTCAATGTGGGGGTGGGGTGGGGAAGGGACTTACGTCACAACCCCTTGGGCCAAATATTTAATGAGGCCTGCTCAGTGACCCCCTTTCTCCCAGCCCCAGCTGCCAGGTTGCTGGGGGTTCACTCATCACCCCCACAAATAACCTCCAAGTTCAGGTCCCTTTGCCATGTGATCACTGCAGTCACCTGTCCCCTCCGCAGTCACCGTCCTTAAGCAAAGGATGCCTCACTGCCAATTCCAGGCTCAGCTTCTGTTTCGTCTTCCCTATAGCTGGATGCATCAAATAGTAATTTCCCCCAAAGCAGGGAGCCCTGAGCCCTGAGAGAAGTCATGCCGCCATCTCTGGCTACACAAGGAATGTGAAAACTTTGAATATCTTCCTCCCAAGGTTACAAGAATCCCAAGTACAATCCCAGGAAGGAAGGTGCCCCCAGTAACACCAGAGAGGTCCTTCACCTCCATCGCATGGAAGGGGCTCGCCAAACGGGTCTCCCAAAACAAAGGGCTCTCTTCCGCCAAACACTGCTTTGTTACCATCATGGAATAAAGATACGTCTGAGGTTTTCAAAATAGCATTTCCCCTTGTCCCCACCACACATGGATCCCACCACCTTGTAATCCGTTCCAAGGTTCGGCTTCCTACTATGCCAGGATTTTGATACGTTTTAGAACCCGTGATTCCTGCACGCTTTTCTACGGATCTCACCCCAGTTTTGTAAAACTTCCCTTTCTACAGTTTATATTTAAAATCAGCATTTGTGGGGTGCCTGGGTGGCTCAGTGGGTTAAGCTTCTGCCTTCGGCTCAGGTTATGATCTCAGGTCCTGGGATCGAGCCCCACATCAGGCTCTCTGCTCAGCAGGGAGCCTGCTTCCCCACCTTCTCTCTGCCTACCTCTCTGCCTACCTGTGATCACTCTCTGGGTGTCTAATAAATAAATAAAATATTTTTAAAAAATAAAAAAATATAAAATCAGCATTTGCAAGCATTTTTTAAAACCACATTCCCCTCCCCACAGGTTCCTAGCATCTGTATCCCATCCCAGAGCCTGGGAGTCACTTCTGTTAGGCCACAAGCTCCTCAGAGGTAGGCACCCACCTCCACTCCCACGGGCCCCACATTTGATTGGCCCCCAGGGGTGCTGGGCTCCGCTCCTGAATATCTGTTCATGTCATGAATCTTTGCATTCCTTTCTACTCCCACTGCCCTGCCATACGTGAGCCCAGCCCTTGGCTCAGGGGCCCAGAGCAACAGCTGTTCTGAGGTGTCCTGGACTGGACTCCTGCCCTTCCACCATCTGCGGCCCACACTCCAGGCAAAGCAATCTTTCTAAAACGCACATCTCAGCCCCAATGCCACCATGGTTTCCCCACTGCTCTTAAGCCAGTGTCCAAAATGGCCCTCAGGACCCTGCACGTCCTAGCAGCGGCCTCCCCCTCCTGCATCACTCCCCAGACTGCCCCCCCTCCCTACTCTGTGCTTCGTCAGGCTGGACCTGTTCCAGTTCCTCATTTCTGCCATCGTCTCTCATCTCCTGTCATCTGGACGGGCCAGTCCCAATGTCCGACCCAAGGCAACTCTTCGATACCCATATTGGATAAGACGTGAATCCGTCAGTTCCTTGCCAGACCACCCTCTGCCTAGCCAATCGCCTGCCCGACACAGGAGTAAATGTCTGAGGGAGAGGAAGAACGGTGAGATGAGAAAAGACAGGGATGCAGGGAAGGGACAAAAAGACAAGTAGTGTGCTGGTTGATGAGAGCCACAGACAGATCAAGAACCCAACCGGTAGATCCGGAGAAGGTGAGGCATGTAGAATAAAGAAAGGACAAAGCCAGAGAGACAACAGCTGTCACACATTGGGAGACTTAGACCTTAGCCAGCCCCCCTGAGCGGGGCTCTAGTGACAGGTCTAAGTTCCAAATGGTCCAAGTGGCCAAGAAGGCTCCTGTTCCCCCTCATGTGAGTCGTTGGACCCCACCTTCCTACACACTGTCCTTTCCAGCAGAAGGGCCATCCCAGGGGAGGGCAGGGCTGGAGTCAAGACTGGGTAGACCCCTGACTGAATTTATAAGCTTGACTTCCACCGCCAGAGTGACATCAATGTCCCATCACCTGGCCTTTGACCAGGGGCTCAATGTCACTCTGGCCATTCTCACCTCAGAAAAGGATCTGAAAATACCTAGGCCAAGAAACCAGACTGGAGATCTCGAGATAGAGATCTCGCAAGCCCAGCCCTTCATACCAGCCACGAGGCAACTATATAGTCAAGCCATTAGGCGGCAAAACAGCACGCCAACGTGGAACAGCTAGAAAACCTGCCTTTCTCCCAGAAAATGTGTCTCCTCCTGCATGGTAGTCAACTGGAGATCCGTGTATCAGCACTGCTTTGAGAGATTCCGTCTGCGTAAATGTACACACCACGTGGAACTCAGCCTACAAAAGGGAGACAGAAGTGTCAGCTACCTACGTTCTGCAGGGTGACAACACCAGGCCCAGCTCACAGTAGGCACTCTGGTAACTGCTGCAAACGGATGAATGAGTGGGTGGGACAGCAGAGTGGGATGCAAGAGACAGCAGGGCCCCGAGAAGAAGCACAGCCCCTACCGGAGAGTCAAGTCCCAGAAGACAGAGAGGACGCCCCTGAGGGTTGCTATTCAGAGAGTTTGTTAAAGGAGTTTCTAATTATTAAAGCACTTATTGGAGGGCGCCTGGGTGGCTCAGTCGTTAAAGTGTCTGCCTTCGACTTGGGTCCTGATCCCAGGGTCCTTGGATCAAGTCCCATGTTGGGCTCTCTGCTCCACGGGAAGCCTGTTTCTCCCTCTCCCACTCCCCCTTCTTGTGTTCCCTCTCTCACTCTCTCTCTCACTCTCTGTCAAATGAATAAATATAACCTTTTTTTTAAAAAGCACTTATTGGAAAAAACCTGGACATTACACAGAGCATAGAGGAACACGCAAAACCCACCAGTGATTTAGGTAGACAAATTTAAGTAGATGTGGAAAAAGTGGCTGAGCAAGGACAGAAATGAAGCCAGTAATGAACTGACAGCTGGGCTGCGCCAGGTGATGAAGGGAAAGCATGAGGGTAATTCTGGGAAGAAAGAGTAATTCATTTGGCCTTATCATGGAAACTCGGGTCAATGATATGTTGTTGAGATTTGAAAAATATCAGGGACCTCATACTGATGGTTCAGAG